ATTTGCTTGAGGGTAAAACAATAATTCTTCATCATTTAGAGTAGAGTTATGTATTGCAACTCACTCATTTAAATAACATAAATGTCTTAAATCACAGTACATGTGAGGTCAGAATAGTTCTGGGTGTGTGCACCATTGCAACTCATAAAACCTATGTTTATAGTTCAGAATGATTAAAAATACATGCCTTATGGGCTGTTCGCATGAAGAACTTCAGCGCAAAGTTTTTTGTAAGTACAATCCTATAGCTGATATTTTAATTGTAACTCACTGACTATTCCTAGTACAACTGTAAAAAAGAGACTCGTGGAACAAGATTTATCTTGAGCAAAGAATGTTTGCAGCTTTTGTTAGAGAAATAGAACACACACCTTGATTTCCACAGGATGTCTCCAGCATCAAGATAAAATTACTCATACTAAGCATCAGGATGAAAGCAGAAGCAAAACCTATGAATCAGTGCATTTGGTACTGGTTCTTAGTATTCCTTTTAGGCCCCTTATAGATCCAACAGATCTTTCTGTTTCTTTTTTTTCTCAGCAGCTTGATTGATAGCCAAGATATAGAAAGAATCTTGCAGTTCAACTTGACTGGGCCATGCCCAGTTCTAGTTTTGTTCCAAAGGAACAAAACATACACAATGAAAGAAAAATAGAATATATTAGAGAATGTAAAATGTTATACCTAGGTTAACAGAAAAAAAAAAGAAAAATATTTTTAGGAATTTTTCATTGAATCTTTAGACAGTATTGAAGGTAAGACACCCTGTCCCCAAAACACTCTCTTTGAAACACCAAATCAAATTAAACCATGGGTCAAAATAAAGAGAATCTTTTGAAAAAGAACAGACAAATGTACGGATAATCTTTCTGAGGCTGATATATAGATTTATATAACACAGCATTCAGTTCTGGAGCGTACATCTCACAGACGAGTATGAACCACAGCCAAAAATAACCAATAGTAATTAAAAGAGAATGTGCGAGTTCAAAAAGAAAGGAAGCCAAAATCTCAGTCAGAAAAAAGGTTCTTTTCCAGCAGGGGAGGAAGGAAGGCAACAGAAGATTCAGGGTAGCAGAGGCAACAGGAGGTTCAGAGGTATGAAGGTCATAGGAAGAGGCAAGGTCTGTCAGACGCGCTTGGTATATGAAGGGAATGATGCACAACAGTAAACTGTTGGGGGAAAAGAGTAAAAAGATAAAATTATAAATATTGTGTAGGTCAGACAGCAGAGTGGCTAGCACGCTCAGTAATGTTCAAGAATGAGACGCCCAAAGGAGGTGTAGGTGTGTGGGCACATGTTTTAAAATTCGGAATCCCACAGATGCTCTAACTCCCTCGGTTGACGTATAAACTCAAGTCAATCCCAACAGCACAACACCTACTGATATCCAGCACGTCTACGAATTCTGCTTTACATGGCCTGAATTTTAATTCTCCAGAAGGTACCAGATAGATGATGTTGGAAATTAAACTTCACTCTTTAGCCTCAGATCAGGCTGAGGCTAAAGAATAAGAGGACTGATGGTGGTATAAGCCTCCTAAGTCACACTTGCAAGTTTTCTCGCTTTAAAGACCATCTTAAGAAAGAAAAGGCTTGGTACTTGACAGGTGCCTTCCGAGGCAGGGCACTGTGACAGGCCACCAAATTCCCTACTCAGCAGCCTGGAGTTCTCAATTATTTTAGAACAAGATGTAAGAAAATGTAGTTTCCTCTCTGTGAGTTCCTCTACCTATTTTTGCTTCAAGTTAACAAAGTCTAACTCTTAGAGACTATCCCTAATGGCTGTGAAAGGCTAGATGTATACCTAAGGTGACTGAAGAAATACAACCAAATTGCTTGTGAATCTGTCACAGCTTTTGTCAAGTGGCTTGTATTACCTGTTAATACATCAATGATATAATGAAAAACATTAAAAATTAGATATGAGGACAAGGCTCGTTTCTGTTCTCCTTGTTTGTTAAAATTAACCTGGTATTATCCATCAACTAGTACAATACATGTCATCTACATAGTAACTGGGAAATGCTCACATCTACTCCTTCATCCTTTTCAAACTTTCTAGTTAAGTGATGATTGATTATTTTGATCTATAGTCAAGAACAAAGACATGTTCAAATCATGATTTCACTTCTTTAAAGACAGAACACTTTCCAAATTCAAAAATCAATCAGTTGTCAATCCCTTACCCAGTGCAAACCCTGAGTTCACTAGTACTTTATCCAGTGTCAGAGTGAAGAATTGAATTTCAAGATCTCACTCTACAAGACAGTGGATTGTTTATTCCTTTTCAAACAGCTTTTAATTTCTTACTGCATTTCTTAATGATAGTTAAAACAAGTCAAATAAAGGGCTGATCATGGAGGTTCACATTATTCTAATGAGCTAGTTGAAAACATTTCAAGGCAAATAATTGTTTTAGTTGCTCGTCTGGGTGCAGCAGTCTTTCAATACGTGCATTCTCTACCTGAGGTAAGTAAAACAGAGCTTACTATCGACACATTTATTGGGAACTTCACAAACTATGTGACATAACCAAACACCATGCAACAGAGGTGACAATCTCCACTTCCGCATTCCCAAAGCGCAGTCAATCTTAGAATCACAGGCCATGAACAATCTGATTAGTAAAATAATGAAGGAGAAAGGATCCCATAAACATATTATTTTAGATATGCACACAACATGCAGCTAAGGGTCTACCAGATCAAAAGTTAACAGGAAAGGTCATGTAATGAAAACAAAAAGATTAAAGAGCAAAAACTGCGAGCAACAATTGTACTCTTGTTTGTGGAAGAGATTCCTACCATTAGTCAGAAAAACCCAAGTATCGTACTAAAGGCCCTATTCATGAATGACTTACACTCCACATAAGTTTGGAAAACTCAGTGAAGAGCGATTACCACCATCCTCTATGAAATGAAAATTCCTCAACATGGGTTTCCCAGAGCACAATGGGACAACTGTGTGTTTGCTGGGAAGGAATAAGGAGTGAGGCTTGGTGCCCCACAGACAGTGGCAGATCATAAGGAACAAGAATTTAAACTCCACACGATCACAAAATTCTAATTTTTGAATGGGAATGTCATCTTGTGAAAGACAAACTGCTGTTGACAGTTACCTACTCAGTAAAGGAAGACCACAATCCTCATCAGAGAAAGCTGTTTTGAGAGTGATTTCAGAACAAATATGCCTTTCATCAATAGCTGGCATCTCCTTCCCACCTTGTTCTATGAGAAAACCCATTTACTGAGATTAGAGTTAGGAAGATTGAAAATTTTGTTCTTCTTTGAATCTACCGCCAAAGTCCTATTTGCACTGCTTGAGGCATTCTCAGGCAATAAAATCATCATTGCAAAACTCTGTGCTTATACTGCTCAATCACTACAGTATGTAAGTACCTTTCAGAATGGCATTAGGCAATATAATTAGCATCTGTCATACATGCTGCTTTCTCTCATGGGTACATCTATACACACTTCTCTCGTGCAAATCTATACACATATCTCTATCTAGGTAGAACACAGCATAATTATAAAGCTAAACTTGTCCCTCTCCAACACTGATGCTTTAAGTCTAAAATAAGTACCAAGCACTATTCTTTTGCTCTCAGTAAACTGAGGACAGTAAAAGCTCATGTTATGTTTGCATATACAAGCTTAATCAAATCTTTTTGGCTGAGATATTGTATTTGTTTAAGAGCAAATGATCAGGCTGATAAAATCAGAGCTGCATTGATTAAAGGGTATTTGATCACCAAGGTAGATCAGGAAAGTGTTGCGAAATAATAGTGGTAGAAACTCAAATGAAGCAGAAATAATAACGCAAAGAAGGCCACAACGGATTTTTAATAAAGAAAATGTTATAGGCAAGCTGATGGTATCTAGTTTAAAAAAAAAAAAAAATTAAGTATGATATGATTTCTGTGCATAAGCTGGTAAAAATGAATTAGGGTTAATCCTCAATAAGATTCAGGTTTTCTCTTAGTATGCATCTCCTTAATTTCCTTCTTTCCCCCCCAATAAAACTTGTCAATCTGTATTTCCTCAGCACAGATTTGAAAAATAATGCTTTAGATTTAGCTGGTATCCAGCAGCAAACACATCAACATTAATGTATCACAGTAACTGCTACCTGCAGAATAATTTTGGTAAAGAAAATGTCCTGGAAAAACATTCTTTGTCAAATTAGCAGCTAATGGAGACATTTCTCTATCCCACGGTTAGAAGACACCCTCCCAACCTTCAAAGGAAGTGTGTCCACGAGATGCCGTAACGTGCAGAGCTTCGCTGCCTTTACAGGATCTACATGGGTGTGCAGGGTAAGCCCACAGGGAACATAATACATGATCAAAGACTTGGATTGTGTACAAAGATTTAAAGACAGTCAATGGATAAGCACGAAAAAGTAGCATGAAAACATGCTTTTCACGAATACACAAGGATGTGGAAAATATCGTACTACTTTGTCTGATAACTGTTATGCCCCAAGGGGAAGAGCACACAAAGGACTATCCAGAGATGGCAAGGAACATGTATCCATTAGGAAAGGAAGGCCTTTAATAATATACAGCTCCTGTAAATGGTTGAATTTTCCTAAGGAAGACACCCTGAAGTTTTCAACCTAGACTGACAGACCTATTGACTCTGGAGAGACAGAAAAAAATGTTAGTACAGAAAAACAAACATGAAGAATTAATACAAGACAACAGATTTTTGCTTCCAGCTGCACCAAGTCACAAGGTTTGATGGTTGTTTTTAAATGCTTCCACACAATGGCCAGGTATCATCCGCAAAACTGTCTCCAAACAAGTGTTTTGTTTACTTTATATTAATTAGTTACACTGCATTGGGCATTTAAAAAGACAACAGGCTGGAAAAAAGGGAAAAAACAGACATGTATGTCTAGAGAGCAGAGAGGAAAGTCTGGAAAAGCTACCCCTGAGAGTAACCATCAAAAGAGTGGAAATGCAAATAAATACATATATTTTCAAACATACGTTTAGGTACCAGCTCTGTTGGTGCTGTAACATCTGCTTCTCTGTAACAGACTGTTGGATCCACAATGTCTCTGTCAGGAGGAGGATAAGGTGGGGGTGGGGGGATCACTAACTGGGGTGGACCACGAGTGGTGCCTCTAGGAGGCTTTTGTGGTACCTGCCGTCCATCACCTACAGGGGGATTAATTGACTAGTTACTTCATTGCAAGATAATGATCACTCTGTTTATTGTTATTTTTTAAACACACACTGATTTTCTCTTACCCACATCCGAAGTCTCTCTGGATCTAATGCTTCTTTCATTTTAACCCCAAATAATTAAGCGAGAAGGAAAAACTAGGTCTTTCTGAAACCAACAGCAATGGGACCAGAATTAGTCCCAGCACATACATGTGCCACACAACTAATAGTTAAAATCACAAGTTTTGGCAGACATAAGAAAGGAAAAAAAAAAGTTTAATTAAAAAAAAAATTGAAAAAAGCTGTGTAAGGGTATGTGAAAAATGTGGGGTTTTTTTATCTTCTTAAGTGCCAAACTGCCTGAATTTGTTGACCTCTAGGATACTTTACATAACTATTCTCCTGACTCTTTGAGAGAAAGAGGAAAATGCCTCAGGTCAGTATTTTGAAGTAGGTATCTTGACAGATTTTTCTCTTCTTTTTCTGAGTAGATTTTTTATTATTTTGACATTGTGGAGAAGCAGATGATTAAGTCATTTTTTGCAAAACAGTGTTTCAAGCTATCGAAGGAAATGCTCCTAACTTTGGCTGGCAGCATATTTCAATACTATGTGCGATAACTAAATAAATACATGCACCTTTGCACTCTACTCCATTAACCATTTACATTGCTAAAAAGCTGCTGCCAGTTTGTAGTGTACAGATCTAGAGCTATTGCAATTTGGAAAGTCCTTAGAGGTTGAAAGTGCACTGAGGGACCATGACTACCTGCTCGTTCTGCTCTCATACCCTGCCTTAAGCATCTGCTGTGGTCATTGCTGAAGATGGATGCTGGCAGAGACAGACCTCTAGTCTGATCCATTCTGATCATTCCTATACTCTTAGGCTCATGGTCTGCTGCTGCTGAGAAGGAAAGTAGCACCAAGAGGGAGAAAAAAAGATTAAACCATTATGATTTTCTACTTAGGAGCCACTAGCTTCCAGAGATTCAAGACACAATTTAATGCTGGCAAATGTGCAGACCCTTTTTTACTGCTTTAAGAAAACTGGGCACAATACTTTGGGATCAGAATAAGTGATTCAGTATTGAATACTGAAGTGAATTTACCAGTTTGATAATAGTTTTGATGGGATCTTTTGCTCTGATTCACATGGCTAACTTGGGAGATACATAGGTAGCTTTAATCCTTTTTCCATCATACGACTGCCTATTTCTTGCAGCACGTTTTTCCCTCACTACAGTCTTGCTTTTTTCACAGCTTTTCTCTCTTGCTTTCAGAGCCATCTGTGCTTTCTCATCGTTTTCTTGCAAGGGCCCCGAAGAGAGGCTGTTTTACCAACCTTCCCTTGCTGTAACAATTTTTTTCTTGTTAATGAATACATTCATTCAAGAAAGCAGCAGAAAATGAAAAGCACTGCAGATATGGCTACTGTGGTACAAGTTCTTTGTCGGTGTAAATTAATAAGGCCCCATTAAAGTAAACGATACTACAGAATCCTACATTAGCAGAGTCTGGCCAGCAAGCACTTATGTACACAGTACTGTATGGACTAGAAGTGGCTCTGCTCTGCTTTATTTCATCTGTAACATTCCGAGCACTGATACAAAATAAAACGAACACTTATAAAAAGTTAAAGCACTGAATGTCATCAATAAGCAACCAGCAGCAGGGCAAGGCATGAGGAGTGACAGATTGTGACACCTGTAATGGTTAAAGTAAGCCACTTTGCTGAAAACTCCTGTGTTATACAGCACAGCGATAACATTCCCCTTTAGAGGGTTTAAATAAGAGATGTCAGTGGAGTTGAACATGTCACAAGATAATGGACTCCTGCTGCTACATAAATGCTGAGGCATTAAATGTGAAGCATTTACTGAAAATAAATGTTGGAACAAAGCCAAGAGGTTTCTTTCTAAACTGTGAGGCATTTGTAATGTAAGCAATTATGTATGACAGGATGTCATATCTGTATGTCTTAGGCATTTAATGAAACATGAGGTCAAAGGCATGAACTGAAGTGCACTGAGTGCATTACGGCACTTGAAGAATGCTTCTCTTAATGTACTGAAAAATGAGTTCTAATATGTGGGGTTATTATCTCATATCTTTACCCATCATAAAATCACTTTGTTGGCTAAAAGCATAATCTTTGGGTCCTCACTCGGGCAAAGCTCCCACTGATCTGAATAAGTTGGTAGTCAGATAACGACAGAGGTCTGGGAGAACATTTTTCAGTCTTCCTGTATGAGCTGGTGTCACGCACAGCTGAAGGCTAGAGTTTCTTTTGTTGTCTCCAGCTATGTACGTCATTCCTTTGAGAGCATCAGCTATTCTCTTCTACTGATTAGCTAAAGACTCAGCAGAGACTGATTTATAATAAAACTGAGGACTAAATTCAAAAGAAAAACTTCACTGAATATGGTCAGTGGATGCTAAACTGTTGGAGGACTACAGGAAAAGAAAATGTCTTCAGGCTTTAGGAACATGAGGAGATACTGAACCAGCTTGACTGTACTGCAGCTCTAGCAGAACCTCATGGCTTCAGATGCATTCAGTATTGCCTGGCCTATCCCCATGTACGACCACTTCCATTTACTATTTCTGTATTTCCGTTTACTAGCAAAACCACTATGACCTTAAAGGCACAGAATAGGCCCAGGGCTGGTGCTTTTGGGTATCTAGCTTGTACCAAACATTCAAATCACCTGATGAGTATTATTTAACTTTCACTACCCTATGGTACTCTGAATGGTGCCATTAAAAAAAAGAGGTAATATGCAAACACTTATTTCCAGACTTTCATTCTGCGGAGAAATGTAGTTTTTATCCCCAGTTATGAAATTTTCCAAACTCACAGCATAACACAATTAAGGAAACTTTGAACAGTAAGCATTGAAAGCACATGCACAGGATTACACAGGAGAAAAGAACGCCTCTCACCCATTGTGCTCTTCCTCTTATCTTCCCTCTCTTCTGTCCTGTTTGGCATGGCAGGAGTGGGTGGAGCAGATGCAGCTGGTGGAAGAGGGGCACGCCTCTTCTTTTTCTGTAGATCATTTAGGGATGCTCCTTGTGAAATCTAGTAAAGTTGAAAAATGGGCACAGTAAAGGATATGTTTTGTTGATGTTGTAAACTGTTAGTAACAACAACAACAAAGTGATTGTCATATGACCTAATTTCTCAGCACAGTATATTTATAATTAGCAATTATAGTGTTAACAGGAGATTGAGAAGAGATTGGAAGAGGTATAGTAATAGTGCACTCAGAGAAGGAAAGGGACAAGAACTGCAGATGAATGTCACAGCAGAAATACCAGTTTGGTAGATAGTTGATGTTTTTGGTAAAAGGGAACTAGAGAGCTCGACACTCAGCAACGCACAGTTTGACACAACGTGTATTGTTAAGCTTGAGCCATAGCGTGATCTTGTTTTTCCAATGGTTTCTTCAGACCTTAAATTATGGTTAAATACTCCAATCAGTATGCATAGGGAATAAACTGTCTCTCATTTATTTGATTTTCCTCCCAAATTCTTGTTTTAAGGACTTCTGAGAGAAGAATCAGAATTGAAAGTTTGCTTGCATGATGATATGAGATCACACTGTACTCTATTTATGTCTACTGGACTTCACAGACATACTTTTGAAGATCTGTCACACCTTGGCTTCCAATAATTGCAACATGCTGGTTGGCAAGCCGAGACTTCATGGCTGTTTACACTGATTTTAAAAATATGAAAAATTTTATTGCAAGTGACTTGAGTTTCACTGGGTTGCATAATATTTTCTGTAGCCTGTTGGAACTTAGCTCTATTTCCTTTTTCCGGAAAAAAACCACCACAAAACAACAAAAAACCCAACCAAAAACATGTAGGAAAATCTGTTGCATTTTTATATTTGAAATGTCCTGACAACACTAGACAGAACCAGGCTTAGCTGAGGCAGAGGGTAACGGGAGCTGCCCACATGTGGCATGCTGTTGGCATTCCTCAGTCTTCACACGCATCACTTCACTGCTCTGTCTGTCCTGATACTCCCCATAGCTGAAGATATCTAATATACAGAAGTGCCTCGTGGTTTTCTAATATTTCAAAGGCCTAAACAATAATAACAACAATCTTTCCTTTAATCCAGAGGATTAATGGACTCTTAAAATACATTTGTTGTGGGAGATTTCATTAAACATATAGTAGCTTCACATTGCTCATAGCTATTATCAGAGTTCAGAGGAAGGCACTCATTTATATGCGTCCTTTTCAACGCTGAGTGAAAACTCTGAGAATAAATGAATTTTACAAAGAACAGGACATGAATACAGTCTCCATCACTTAGCCTTCCTTTTTAAAAGCACTCAGGAGGGTCTCAGGTTATAAAACACACATATTCAGTTCCACCTTTCAGGAGAATGCTTTAACCACTGTGCCACATGGTATTTGGACACTCCACACCTGTTCTTGGTGAACGTGCATCCTGCATATGGAGAAACTTGGAAGTAACTGCACTGGACATAGAGCATGCTAACCAGGATGAGCTGCAGCTTTGTGGCAAACAGCTTCTATAAAGTGAAGGAGATGGAGGGTGGGAAATAAAGGTGTCCTGGTCTTGCTTCCTACTATCATGGATTATTTCTGCATTTTACATTAAATGTCCACTGGATACAGTGCATGACTAAAGCCAGCGAGGCCAATCAAGATAAAACTAGGCATAGTAAAAGGGCAAGAACGTTCACAGTAACTAGTGATTTTGCAAGCTTCAATTTTGGTCACCAAACTTCATGGAATTTAAAAAATTAGACTTATACCCAGAAAACAACATTAGGCTAAACGTTCAGGAATGGATACAGTAAAATTTTAGAGCTCCGTTGAAAACCTTTTCCCATAGTTTTGGTGTTACTTGATAATTAAGATGGAGCACCTCTCCTGGTGAAGAAACTGCCTGCCAGCGGTTAGGAACTGACTGCAATTGCCTGAAGTTGAATCCCATGCTCCTGCCTCCCCAGTTCTTACAGAACCAGAATGCCCAAGATTGAGTTGAACATGGGAAACTCTGTTCAGTGAAACAGACTCACCAGGCTTTGGTTCACAGAGGAGGAACGACATGGAGGACAGCTACCTAATGCTACATTCTTCTCCATGTCTTTTTGGGGCAACTGGCAAATAGGCACTTGGAAAAAAAAATCACATTCTTCCGCATTGCATTTTACATTCTTAAAGACATGTGAGCATTTAATCCTGTATCTTGATTCTTCAGGATACTACCTTACAAAATTATAAAAGTGAGAACTTGGATTAATCTGACTAGGAAGTCTCCAAAATTCAGTAGCTATGGAGAACTTGAATCATCTGGGAGACACACAGCATCTGAACCTCCCCAACACTTCACAAGCACAAGCCACAACTTTTGCGATTATTTAATGGCATTGTGCAGTTTTCACATTCACTCCTGTCTCTCTAGACAGAAAGGTCATTTTACTGGAGGACAAGAAATGGATGGACTGGTGATTTAAAAGAAGTCTAGGAAATCATGGAATCAATCATAGAATGGTTTGGGTTGGAAGGGACCTGCAAGACCCTCTAGTTCCAATCTCCATGCCATGGGCAGGGCCACCCTCCAATAGACCAAGCTGCCTAAAGCCCCATCCAGTCTGGCCTTGAACGCTGCCAGGGATGAGGCATCCACAATCTCGCTGGGCAACCTGTTCCAGTGCCTCACCACCCTCACAGGGAAGAATTTCTTCCTTATATTTAATCTAAATATACTCTCCTTCAGCTTAAAGCCATTACCCCTTGTCCTGTTACTCCATGCCCTTGTAAATGGCATGCCCTCTCCAGATTTCCTGCAGGTCCCCTTTAGGTACTGTAAGGCTGCTGGAAAGTTTCCCCGGAGGCTTCTCTTCTCCAGGATGAACAACCCCCGCTCTCTCAGCCTGTCTTCATAGGAGAGATTGCTCCAGCTCTCTCATCATCCTCATGGCCTCCTCTGGACTCGCTCCAACAGCTCCATGTCCTTCTACTGAGGACCCCAGAGCTGGACGCAGTACTCCAGGTGGGGTCTCATGAGAACGGAGAAGAGGGGCAGAATCACCTCTCTTGACCTGTGGTCAAGTTCCTTTTGATGCAGCCCAGGATAGGGTTGGCTTTCTGGGCAGCAAGTGCTCATTGCCGGGTCATGTTGAGCATCTCGTCCACCAATACCCCCAAGTCCTTATCCTCAGGGCTGCTCTCAATCCATTCTCAGCCCAGCCTATAGCTGTGCTTGGGATTGCCTCAACCCATGTGCATCTTGAAAAGACAAGAGATCACTAATCACTGTTTCCCAAGTACCAGATGAGCAAAGGATGTTAGTTTGGTATAAATTCCTCAAAGATACATTGCTGCTTCACTAAGAAGAAAGGATCCTTGTTAGAAGCCAGCTTATCTTTTTCCGCTCTATGCATTCTTATTTAGTTGAATCTTCTGAGGAACATTAGATAGACGTATGGATGAACACGCTGCTACAGCTAAAGAAAAGGCTAGAAAATAGCTAGTGCACAATTGCAGTAATGCAAGTTTTGTCACACACACACAAAAATGCTTTTATTATACTGTCAGCTAAGTGCCGTATACTTCACAAACACCATAAAGAAGATTAAAAGCTTGTTTAAAGCCAGCCACACTACAATGTATATAAGAAGTGTCTAGTTCAAGAACAGGTCATAAAAACTGTTAAAAGTAGTTCTCTAATGCCAACCTCGGTAAACCTATGAGGCTGAACATAAATGGAAAAAAACCAAAGAACATTCTGTGTCTTTCTTGCAATTGTATATACCGAAACAATAGAACTTGAAAATAATTTGTTATGGCTGGCTGCTTCTTTTATAAAGAAATCAAGCCTTAACAACACTATCTGAAGTAATTTCCCATCCAAACTTTGTTACAGAAGTCCCTCTCTGAGCGTAACAGAACATTTCCTAGTCTTAGCACTTGTGGTTCACCTATGTAGCATTTTTAACTAGATGAAATTATTAGGTGAGCTTCTGGAATGCAATGAATACATAATTTTTAAAGATGTTAGTAAGTATTCTCTGACTATAATTAATACCATCAACTGACCCAGAGATGAATAAAGTGGGCCAAAAGGACCTAAGTCTGACTAACAGTGTCACTTTTGTTCCCATACTGATGAGACCACGTATGATGTGAAATAAGAATTTTCCATGAAATTCATGTCACGGCTCACATGCTATTTGAAAAATACTTCCAATATTGCAGACAAAGTATCTGAGGAATGTGCTGAATGTGTTTTCCTTCTGTGAAAGCTCAACATTTTTATTAAAATTTGAGACCTTTAGATAAGATTTTAGAATATATTTAGAGCATAACAACAACGTCATGGGGAGGTTATGTGCCAAAATTGTGTGGAAAAGAATCCTACAAGGCTAATACTTGAAAATCTTGACCAGTGCCATTTGACAGTCACCTTACTTGCAAAAGATCTGTGGATACTGTAAGAGTAGATGTGTAAACTGAGTTTGAGTTTCCTTACGCGTAAGAGTACAGTATTTTCTTTGGGTTAGGTTGCACTGAATATGAATTAATGAAAAATATTAATGGAGGCCCATGGAAACAAAAGCCACCACCACCAAAAATTCATCAAGCATTCAAAGACAAGGAGATTCTCAGATAAATTTCCAATGTAAGCTCCACTCCTTTGCCTTGCCTGCCTCTACTTACACGTCAGACACTGGTTTTGTATTTATCAACCCTTTACTATTAATCTTTCTAACAGAAATGTTTATTTATTTAAGTACTTGCTAAGTTACCTGGCAAATGCCACCTTTCTTTTATTCACAGACCAAACTAGGCCAAAATTTACTGCAGGTTTACTGCTCCTGAAACTGAGGCTCCTTCTGTAAGCCAGAAACAATATCATTAACTTGTGCTCCTCTGTCCCTCCAATATCCACCAACGTGTGCAACCCACTTGATGACACTGACTACATATCTCAGTCGTCTGAATCGGTACTTTGACCAAGAAGGAAATCTCACTCTACTGTCTGTAAAAACAGATTAAAGACTCTACAACAGCATACTCAGAGAGCC